CTAGACCAAACCAATGATGAATCAAGGTGTATAAATAAAATACACGTTTTCATTCAAAATAATAGAGTCGCCTGTCTAATTGCCCGTTCGACCTTAAAATATCTTATGTAACGAGAACGCGAGTTCTATTTCGTTTTTTTTTTATTAATTCAAAGAAAACTCAATGCTGCGGTTAACTTTTGTAATATAAATATGTATGTACATAATATTATATTATTTGCAAACATCAATTTTGTATGCATCGCTAATTATGGCAACTGCAACGTGGTATGCGGTGATTCATGCGCCAAACGTTTATTTTTGTTATTATTATGGGACTGGTACCGCCGTCTCGTGATATGGAATATTTATTGTTAACTTGGTTTAAACATGAGCGTAGATGCGCATCCGAGAGAGCTGCCCACGATTACTTATTACACGCAATAAATATGAGGTTTGAAGTCTAGTCGACCGCATCCTTTAAAACGTACACGTTTAATGGGTAATAAATAAATATTACAACGGTACGAAAAACCAGCCCGGCTGCGGGTTTCCAGAAAAAGTAAGCAACGTTTGGCAACGCCGCTTGGAAATTTTACTAAACGACTCGCGGCATCTCATTTTAACAAGAGCGTCACATTTTTTTTGTTTTTATGTTATTGTTTCATTGAGCTACACGCATCAAAGACCATTCATCAATGTGGTCGGGTAAAAGAACACCTCTTAGCTACTTTTTTAATTATAACTACCAGACTTTTTTCAAAGAAAAAATTTCAAAATTAAGGTTACAGCCTTCTTCTTCTCCTTCTAAACTTACAGCTTGGAAAAGAATTGTCCAAGACAAGACTAAGATCCAATTGCTTACCATCGCATGCATCAATTCAAACTTAAATTTAATTGTGCCGCGTTACTTATAAGTTAAAAAAACGAGCTGGAACACGTTTAGCAGTTTAGGGTAATTTAAAACTGTGTAGTTTACGCTTAAATATATATCCTATTCTCTGCTTTAGCCTTTGGCTAGTGCATTTCTTTATTAATCGTGTTTACTTGAATATTTTTCTCACTCAACTTTAAGTACCCACTCTTAATTCATTTATGAAACGCAGTTGTTTTAATTTAATCATTTATTACTAGAGCTAATGTGGCGTTTTTTATTTAAAAATGTGCAGCTTTCTTTGACCGCATTAACTATAAATAAACACGTATGTTATGTGGGCATGCGCACCAATTTCGATGTAATATGCCCATTCGAAATAATCTAATACTCCGCCCATGCGCTACTGATGCGGTAAATCAAAGACCAAAATGGGATTGTTGTTGTTACGGGTGCGAAAAAAAACCCTGATGTGGGATTTACGTTGTTCCAAGAGATTCTATTCTTATCCTTCGTTAAGTAACTTACAACCCGGTTTTCCCGCGAATTTTTCAAGGCGTTAATAGAATATTAGTCCCGTATAGCTTGTGAATTATGTATGGCAGTTCAAAAAAGAAGTCTTCAGACGACCCATTGTTAAAATGCATTTTTGGAGTCACTGGAAAATGGAGTTTTAAGCGCTTTCCTTGTAAAATTGCGTCGGAAAAGTTGAAAACTTCAGGTGCCTATGTTAATATTTCTGAAAAACACATATATTAAAAAAGACTGCCATATTTTAGCATCGGCTTAAATATTTGGAAGTTTGCAAAAGACTATTATGCACTAAATGCACTTAAAATTTAAGTATAGATAATAATGCATATGCGACGTAATTGTCATTTTTCAAGGTTTTATAATGACGTTAATAAATAATAAAAAAATCTGATTATCTCGCAATATTTTACTTTTGAAGACAAATAAGTACAGAGAAAATTCTCTTTAAGCATAAGAAAGAATACATAATACATATTAATTCTTTCTAATTGGATGTCATTACACAAATATCATTAATATTAAAAATCTTACAAAAAAAGTAAAACTTATATTGCTAGGAAATACCACATTGGAATATTTTCATTATTAGTTATTTTGGCTTGTTTTTGTGGTATTATTAAGTAAAGAACAATTAATGAATATAGAAAGCATTTTGGGTCTTTTCTCAATCTACTTAGTGCAACAAAACTGTATACGGCGTCAAAATGTGATAACGTGGCAGGCATATTTTGCTTCGTTATATGGAAAATAAACACAAAATAAACAAAAGAACAGAAATTTCTATAATTTATTAAATATAAAATTCGGTATCCAACAATCTAATCAATGTTATTGAATTTATTCGAACACTATCAGATCTAAGTCGAGACGATGTTTTGTAAACTCGGATCAATCACATCCAACAACAACAATTCTTTTTAAAAATTCCAAGATAAATGTTTTTATTTTCATTACTTGAAACGTACAACCGAAGTCACTAAAACGTTGACGCTGACCAATAAGATTAATCCCTCTGGATTAACCGTGATTAGCAGAAATGATTAAGACTTCTAAACAAAACTTCTACAGAGTGTTTTTCTTTAAATGAATGTCCAATATGTCACAGGCCGAATTCCTAAGTATTTTTAAGAAAAAAAGTCGATATGAACCTCGGTCCACTCCCCAAGCGCTCTATTTTTGAGATACAGATACAATATTGAGATGAAAATTGGGACTTGAAGCTTTTTTAAAATGATAAATTAAAACTTAATCTTAGTTTGGCATTTCCTGGTAGGGTACAAGTTAACTAACCAAACCTGACTAATGTTAGGATTCGTATAAAATAGCATTATATAAATTCTGCAAAGTTGATATACCGACATAAATATGAATTGAAAATGCGAAATTAAAAATGCATATTACAAAAAATAATATAATTCAAATGACCGTATATCAATGTTTGGACATTGTGTAAGTTTATATGGAGTTTAGAGTTTCTTTACACGCAGTATCATAGACTAACCGCTTTATACACAACCATTTAGTCTTTAAAGTATTCTTAAGCTTACCAAAAGTAATATGGTCCAAGAGAATAAGAAATAATTTTGTTTTGTTGACGCAAGAACTGTTAAAAAGAAGAGACACTGAAAAATACCTGTTTGGTCATCTTTAATATAATTTATTTGTTTCTTCCATTTCAATTGTTTTTTATCTCTATAAATGGAACGGCCTTTCTTTTAACATCAATAAAAGAAAGATATAAAATTACCGAAGCGATTGATATTTGGTTATATTTGCGATCTTCAAAGAACTTTACAAATAAATCAGATCGTTTTTGATATTTTTCCGTCGACCACATGCGCGGAATTTTCCCATTGAATTCTCGTAAAAAAAAAGAAGGTCCGCATAAAGAGCCTCTTTGTTAACTCCTACTTCCTTTCTCAGCAAAGCGGCGAGATTATTTTGGTAAACTTGATCTTTGATCCTGACCGGTGAAACATTAACTGGTCTGCAGGCTCCGCCATTGTTTATTTTTTCACGCACACACACACACACACACTCATATTGAAGTGGGTTTCATTGGCGTAGTCGCCTTATTTTCTAATGGGTCTCTACTTATGAACGTTTAACGCGAAATTTAAAAATATCTTTGCTTTAGATAAGCAAGCTTAATTATTAGTTTGAAAGTATTTTATGCAAATAGTATCGCGTATAGTAGCGAAGCTTATTGTGTTCTTGGTAAAAATTGTTATCCGATTGAATATAGGTCGCTTTTGACTTTGTAAATGCAACGTGTATTATCAGTTATTAATTCTATGAGGGAACCATTTACTTTTCAACGTCGAATTAGATCTTAACCTTTTTTTAATAAAAATAAATTGTCTGTGTGGGCAATTAATGCATTGTAGCTGAGCGTATTAAATTCCAAAGCTGTAAACAGTTTTCGTATGAACTTGGTGAAATAGGGGAATTTTCAACTTCATAACTCTAGGTGAAGATTGATGTGTAAAGCAACAACATTATTTGGAAGAAAAGTTCTCATCTGCTTTCGGCTGTTATTATAATATTTTCGGGTAACTCCTCTAAAACCCACAATCCATGCTAAAAACAAATCCGATTTTTTGAGGTCTCGGCGAATCCCCCATAAAATTAAAAATCGCACACTTAGGTCCCGCGCTTAAGAGTTGATGCTGGTAACTTTGTAGTTTTTTTTTAAGTTATTTGTATACAATCGTTCTAACCTTTTTTGACAAGTAAGACATTTGACAGCATAAAGTGAGGACTTATTCAAAAATAGATAGATGATTAGCTAGCACCCTCTAAATATAAAACGCATCAATCCTCAAAAATGTGGGAAACCAATTGACATATCAGTCAAAATTTTAGGCATTTTGTCAATAACTACATCTACCGGATAATTCGAATATCACATATGTAGGCCTTACCTACGCAAGTATTTTCGCTATTTTAAAAAAATGGCGACAAATAGAGGGCAATGTGTGAAATTTATATGCATATTCAGAAAATCGTTCGGTGCAGGGAAAAAATTTCATAGCCGCACGAGCTGAATTTTACTATATTTAGGACTACTATAATCAGTTTTTCCATACAGCTACTAGAGATTGATATAGAGGCTCTACTTAATGCTGATAATACAGGAATTTATGAAGCAACTATGAAAAAAACGTTTGAGAAGGTTCATCTAAAAATCTCGTTTTTAATAAATTGCCTTCGACGACAACAACCCTCAACATGGCCGCTTACAGATAGCCAATATGTTCAGCATGAGGCATTTTAGGGCAGCATTTTCTCAAAATATGCCTATATCTCGTTAATTGTTCAAGAAAATCGAGTTAAGCGTATGGAAATTCTTGTTTAGAAAGAAAATGGCGCAAAATGCAGGTTAGTGTGTGAAATATAGAGGCATGCAAGGAAAATCATTTCCTTTTATATGAAAATATCAATGCCGCCTGTGGCTCATCAATTTATAAGGCAATAGGGCTACTATATTATCTAATAGCTACATTGTTTTTTCAATTCAAAAATTGAATGTTTTTTCTAATTTATTGGATACATAGTAATATTTAAAAAAAAGTATATATAACTTGGTACAAATTCCACAAAGCAATCCTACCTGCTCGCTCTGATTGGTATGATCCAAAGCGCATGCTGTAACAAAATCCTGTCCCTTCACCAACTTAACAAATGAACATCGAGGAAACCATCGAGCATGCTCTGTCCAAGGGTCATCATCAGGGTCCCAGTGTCTAAGGCCTCCATCACAATGGAAACACCTTACTTGATCTCCCAAACCTTCATAATAAAACCCGGCTTGGGACAAAATTTCTGGTGTTTGTATCAAATTTGGAGACCATTGCGAAAATGACCTTAATCTGGCCTCAAAAGTAGCATAGTCAGATCTTTTTGGTCCATTGTGTTTCTGCACACCTAATTCATCCAAATTTCCATCGACAGTTGAGCCGACAATATTCACATTGTGGAAAGAATTTGTTTCACACTTGTTGGAGTTGTTGGAATCAGGATTAACATTTAACCTTGGGATTATTGTGTTATTAACAAAGGGACAGGAAGGAAAATGCCTTTTGTGCTCATAGTCTGGATCGTCTCCCATTTCCCAAGCTCTTGCAACACCTTTGCAGAAGGCGCACTTGGTATTATCTCCGTCTTTTAAATAATAAAATCCTGCTCTAGCTAAGCGCTCTGGAGTTACAATGTTTGATGCTGGCCAATTTTCAAATGTTGCTAAACGAACTGCTTCATTCTGATAATCTAAAATTTAAAGTCTAGATCAGAATGATTGCTTTATTCAAATACAGGACAATTAAATTCTACTTCAATTCACTTAATATATTTAATATATTAAAATGCATAAATATTCTTCAATGTAACGCAATGGGAACATACCTGGTCCATTGGAATATACAGTGGTGGACTGACTTTGGCCACTTAAGGATAATGATGGAATATTCCCCGAATCAGAAGGATTTCGAACAAATAAACAAGAGGGATTCAGGATTTTGTGACGAGCCATTACTTGATCTCCATATTCCCATGTCGATATTTTCAAGTGGCACGAAAAACATTCAACTTCCAGCCCTTGTTTGGTGGCATAAAATCCTGCTTTAGCGATTCTCTGGGGACTCACTACCGAATCACCAGGCCAGTCGTTAAATGTTTGCAAACGGCGGTTTTCGTCGTTCATGTCGGGTAATTATTGCACATGCCGATTATTTCGCGAAATTTAACATTTTGTCACTTTACCGAAAATCTCCCAGAACGATATTGAAATCAGTACTTCACATTAATTACAGCGCACTGCTCAGCTGATTTCTGTCAACGATAATAGACGTTTATAAAATGAAAAGAGGCAATGTGAATTGAAGGATTTGGTTTTAGTCAGTTTTTCAAACATGCTGATTATTTTGTACCTAGTTCTATACAAATTTATGCATATCAGTTTTCTAGAATCGAAATAAAATTTAATATGGCGCACTAATATTATTTAAAATGCCGAATAATAAACAGACTGACCTCAACTGACTAAATTGTTTTTATCTCTGGGGAATGTAAACAATTTTTTAATGTTTTTTGTTGTGGCTAGACTTATACTAAAATTTTAAATGACTTGTTTTTTTAATGAAAATTAGTATTAGTTCATTTTGTATGTTAATTTTTGTGAAGCCATATATTCTAATACTATATTCTTACAATTTTATGTATATTCTGGTATTCAAATATTGCCTTCATCTGATAACACGTATGGTAATTTAATCCTTATTTTTATCAAAGTCGTTTATATTTTCAGTTTAGAGGTCAAATTGTTATCATTTTTGTGGTCTATAGATACAGAACATTTTTTTGGTATTATTTGGTTGTTTGTACAAAATCTGTAGTGATGACTTTTTTGAAAATGTGTAGGGTAAGATTATAATTATTTGATAATTAAACATAAATTGATAACGTCATTTAAGCCTTAGTCCTTCACATTTAAAAATAATTGCAATTTTTAGGCCTTGCGGGTCAATACACGAACATATGCCAGCAAAAGTAGCTCAAATGATGTAGTAATAGTATCAGCTGTTCGGACCCCTATGGGCTCCTTTTTAGGTTCTTTAGCTCCCCTGAGTGCCACAAAACTAGGGGCTGTAGCTATTCAAGCTGCAATAGAAAGAGCCGGAATACCAAAAGAAGAAATTAAAGAAGTTTTAATGGGCAATGTGTGCCAAGGAGGAGTGGGACAAGCACCAGCTAGGCAGGCAACAATATTTGCTGGCCTTCCTAAGGCGACTATATGCACCACAGTTAACAAAGTATGGACTTTTTTAATAAAAGCATTAACATCAATTACTAGAACTTAAATACCAATGTGACTTGTTTGTAATATTAAAATTTTACATACTGATAAAACCATTAAATTGTTTATTTTTAGGTATGTGCTTCGGGAATGAAATCCATTATGTTGGGTGCGCAAATACTTCGTGCTGGTGATCAGGATGTAGTGTTAACTGGCGGTATGGAGTCAATGTCAAATGTGCCTTATTACTTGAAACGGGGTCAAACACCTTATGGTGGCGTAAATTTAACGGACGGGATTGTATTTGATGGTTTAACTGACGTTTACAACAAATTCCACATGGGAAACTGTGCCGAGAATACAGCAAAAAAATTTGGTATAACTAGGGAGCAGCAAGATGAATTTGCCATTAAATCCTATAAGCGAAGTGCGGAAGCTTATAAATCAAATGCTTTTAGTTCAGAATTAGCACCAGTCAGTGTACCTCAAAAAAAGGGCCAACCTGATGTGACTTTTAAAGAGGATGAAGAATACAAAAGAGTCAATTTTGACAAGTTCAACAAACTTCCCACTGTATTTCAACGAGATAATGGTACTGTAACGGCGGGTAATGCTTCCACTCTGAATGATGGAGCTGCTGCCCTTATTTTGACCACACAGGAATCGGCCAATCGCTTAAGCCTCAAGCCGCTAGCTAGAGTTGTTGGGTTTCAAGATGGAGCGTGTGAACCAATCGATTTTCCCATCGCCCCCGCAGTGGCTATCCCAAAGCTTTTAGAGAAAACGGGCGTAAGTAAAGATGATGTAGCCATGTGGGAAATTAATGAAGCGTTCAGCGTGGTGGTACTTGCAAATGAAAAAATATTAGGTCTCGATCCTCAGAGAGTAAATATTCATGGTGGGGCTGTGAGTTTGGGGCATCCTATAGGCATGTCGGGGGCTAGAATTGTGGTCCATTTAGTGCATGCGTTAAAACCCGGTCAAAAGGGGGTAGCAGCTATTTGTAATGGTGGAGGCGGGGCATCGTCCATCATGATTGAGAGACTGTAAGTCTGAATTTATGTTGTATTTATTAAGGTTTTGTTATAAGATAAAAGATGTTTTATTCCAATTTATGCTTAACACAGATATATGTATATGTCATATTAAAAAAGTTGTTGGGAAGTTGGTACATTAGGACTACTGTTTTTTAATTCAAATTGAAGTGCCCAAAAAATGTTCAAATCTCATAAAATTGAAATCTTTTTTTTTGCCACCATGAACTGCTAGAGCGGTTTTTACAATGTTCTGTGCTTCCAGTAATTTGTAGTTAGCTTTCTTTGATAAAATTCACATTTGATAAAAACACGGTGTTGTCGAAACAATTGTCATGTGAAAATATATAATTTCGTGAATATCTGAACTTTTAGTTCTTGTTTATTTTGTTAAATGGATTTTCATCAAGTAAAAGCCAGCTCAGTTCAAACAGAAATTTCTTCAAATGCATATACAAGGTGGTCCAATTTATGTGGAGAAACTTTAACAGCGTAATCAGCAGATTGAACTAAGTAAAAAAGATCATATAAACTTAGATTCATAAATGATTCGTTTTGAAGATACAGGATGTTAAAATATTGCGAAATATATCGTTTTTTCTTATTTTTTAAAAAACTTATAGATTTTGCTTCCAAATTTAGTAGGCATTATTGTCATTTAAAAACAAGTGTATAGGATAAATGAACTTTTTGAACAGTTTTAATTAATTTAAACAAAAAAAAGATCAATTTATAAATGATCTCGATTTTATCGCCAAAACGAACCCTTTTCGAAAAAATAATGTGCACCTAATATCTCAGATTTACAAATTAAGTTTGCTTTTATTTACATAACGTAAGAATAATTAATTTTATGAATTTAATTGTAATAATTATAATATCTACCAAGTTTGAAATCAAAATCTGTTAGATTTTAAAAAATAGGAAAAACCGAAGCTTACTTTTTTACTTATTTTAACTGTTGAATATGCTGTTACAGTTTAGCTGATAAGAGAATAATATAACCAAACAGAAATGGTTTTAGTGAAAAAAACAAAAGAAATCGCATCTTACCCCCTCAAAGTTGTACATGCAGCTCCATTCAGTAGTAGTGTAATTAGTTTACTGTGTTTGTATTTAGGGCAAGCAATATCCCCCGAAACACCATACCAACACTAACTCTGTATACCAAAGATCCTTGCCAGTTATGTGACGAGTTAAAAGTGGATTTAGAGTCTTATAAAAATGTCGTTCGTGTTGAGACCGTAGACATTAGCAAAAAGCAAAACTTGCGATGGTTGCGTTTGTATAGGTACGAAATACCAGTAGTTTTCTTAAATGGAGAATTTCTGTGTAAACACAGGTTGGATAAAGAGCTATTCGAGAGAAAATTGAGCGAATTACGTTGATTTTTTGAAAATAGATTTTTTCTTGCTAACTCTTATATATGTTAAAAATAAAGAAATAGCTTAAGATTTAATGGTCTGGTCTCTGTTTTGTATGACTTATCCTCAAATTTCTACATCCAGTGTTTCGCGATGATGCCATAAAGAAAAAGCAAAATGTTTATTAAATTTACAACCTGTTTTTATTCAAAATATATTTTATTTTCATGAAGATTGAGGATCTTTAAAATCACCTTTGTTGCATAAATCATCTGTGCACGTATCACATTTTAGCTTCCGAACCTGAAAACCGAGCTTGATGGCCACACACGAGGGTATACAACCCTTAAAATAATACATTTCTGTCTCATTGGTGGTTCGATTTCTTATCTCGCCGCTAGCAACTGCGCATAATTTTGCCGATTTGGAGCAATTTTGATGTTTAGAGCAATCCTCTGGTCGATCGGTTTTGGAGAAGCAGTTGTAGCATTTCGTGGCCGCCGAGTTCAGACCTGCATATTATTTTTTCTAAGTTTTTGTCGCTTTCAAACAATAAGTGTAAACTTACCGACAAAGAAAATGATGCAGGCTAAAGCTTCGACTAACAGGATTTGAATTATTTTACTCATGTTGCCGGAGTGATTATTTTCCTTTCGAACGATGGTCTTTATATGGTGCTTCATTATCAAATAATGATAGTAATGGTGGCCGTTTTGCCCACATAGTTAAATGAGGCAATTAGAAAAGCGACAACTATATTATTTTATCGTGCAAATGCGGCTGATTTATCGTATTGGACACCAACAAAGATAATTTCTTCAAAAAATTAGCCAATTAGGGAGCGTAGTTTAATAAATACGTCAATATGCATTTTGCGAAATTATTGGACTTCCAAATTTAATTTCACACAATTGAAAAAAAATTCAAATGTAGAAAACTAAAACTCCATTTCGAATAATCCTATAATAAGAACGAGCATCGTTTTGTTATTAAATGCTATTGTTTTTAGATAATCACATTTTTTTGTATTATTCGCAAAGCTTTTCTGATATAATTCGGGGTTTTCTCACTTCTCTGTGTTTTGTGACCTTTAAGAATTACAATTTTCTGCCACAAAATGCCAATAATTTCTATTGCATGAACAGTATTTTTAAAATAACATGAAAAAAAGGTAATCTTTTAGTAACCCTTCCAAAATGAGACGAAACGCGAGATGTCGGTGAGGGTTCGTCGTACGGGGTCGCCCTTGGTATAAAAACAATTTTTTTTTTCTGTTCTCTGTTTTTCCGTAGCGGATCTGCGGGGTCTTTTGAAGGCTTATACGTTCCCAACGATTGGAACTACCAACTTTAAATTTTCCTACGTACTAGTACTAGGCCATGCGCAGTGCCCCGCGAAATATTAGGCCGATCAGATATCGGCGGTCATTTTGTCAGCTATTGTCACCATGAAACACAATAAGTGTCAGAAATTTTGAGCCAGCGAGTTGAAATTCGGCAGAAATTTAGTGTTCGATCCACAAATGGAACCTATTGAAGCTAGACGGGATCGAAAGATCCGAAGTATTTAAAAAACATTTTTTTCTCGAAAACGCTACATCTGGTCGAAAAAATTCTTGGGCCCGAAAAGACGCGTAAACGGTCACTAAGGCTACAATTAAGAGCCAATATTTGACTAAATATTTGTTCTTGATGTTAAAGAAATAAATAAAAAATGAAAAATATAACTATTTAGTTTTTACCAGTCAGTATTTTATGTTGCTTTAAAAAAACATTTCTTCACATAAAAATAAAAAATAGGACACGAAAAAATATAGCTATTTAGTTTTTACCAGTCAGTATTTTATATTGCTTTAAAAAATATGTCTTAACATTTAAGGCCCTTTACTGATTTTTCCAGATCAACTTCTACGTTTTTTGATTTTGCAGGTTAGTGAGAACGATGTAATTGCTTTTTATGCATGCTTATTCCTACTAGCAATGAGTTTCTTAAATTGATTTTGATTTTTTTTTCAACATTTTTTCTTATTTAAAATATTGATATTCAGGAAAATGACAAATAACAATGAGGTTAATAAAAATGTAGTGTATTTAAAAATTAAATACAAAATTATAAAATTAAAGGTTAATACTATTGTTATTAAATTATTATATATTATTGTCTTTGGTGATTTATTTACATCTAACTGTAAAAATTATAGGCAAGGGTTAAATAAAGCTTAATTGAGTTATACACATCCATACTCATACCACACCGCCGTCTCTTTAGGATTATCTTTTCGTTTCTCATCTTTAGCAACATCGGGTAAACTTGTCTCTGCTTGTTCTGGAGTTTTTCCTCTTTGAGGAATTGGTGATGACTGAGCAGCAATATGAGGCTCTCCTGTAAAGTAAAAGCAAAAGTTCAAATTTAAAATATAAAGTTAGAATTTGTTACCTATCACAGTTGATATTCGGTTATAAACCAGTAAAGGACCATTAGAAGGAGTCGGTGGGATATTAGCAGCAGGTTTCGGCACCGCTACGGGAGCCACATCGTCCTCAGCTAAATAAACAGTGCGACGGGAACCTACTGAACCCAAGCTTAACGCACTTCCTGGTTCCTTACTGTTTATGCTAGCATCATCCACTGGAAAACATAATTTACATATTTACTTCTAAATAAACTCAATACACTCAGAAGTCCCCAATTGACTAGTGCTTTAAAAATAATATAATAAATAACTATTTTCCTGTTACAGATAATATTCTATCAAATTGTTATCACTACTGAGAAGCTTTAAAATTAATTTAAATTAAAAAAGTTCATATTCTACCGGCAATATTGCTTCTATGATTTGCCAAGTCCTTGTAAGACTTTCTAACATCAATTTCATCCTTTGGACCATGTAGACTACCAGTTTCGCTAGTATTTCTCTTAAATGATTCTGCAGTCAAGGGATCTTCCATACTGTTGTCCGATTCATTTCCAGCTGATTCTCCAGATTCGTTACTCCTCAGCAGCTGGGACTGCGACAGAGAGCTGCTTTCTACATGCCACGAGCGGCGATTCTTTAAGAAATTTCTTGATCACAAAACATAATAACTTGCAGATGGTTACATACCCTATTTGGTACCTTATTTATAATATCTGACCCCGCCTTCCTTACCCGCTTTACAAATATGGCCCCAAAGCCCTTTCTGTAACAAATTAATATTCTAAATATGAAACTAAAAAATAGACCTACTCACTTTTTGGAAGACGCATTGTCCAATTTCCGATAATGCTCCATGATTTTCTCTTCTAGCTTCTCTTTTTGTCGACACAAATTGTTCATTTTATCAGTAAATAATTTTTCTTCCAAATGGTAATGTTGTTTGTCCTCCAAAGAATGAGTCAAAAGAGAGTGATACTGTGACAGCAACTGAGAAATGTGATCCATCAAGGCACGCCGGTCTGAATCAAGCGAATGGTTCATTTCAAACAACATCTGAAAGAGAGTTCCATTTTAATGATTTATTCCTAGTTGAACTTATCGCGTACATCACATTTCTGTTGCAATCTAGCATTCTCCATTTGCAGAGAAGCCATTTTATCGGAAGTTGAATTCAGCTCTCCCTGCATCTCGGTGCGTCCTAATCTCAAATTCCTTGACTCAGTTCTTAGAGTTTTCAGTTCTTCTTGCACATTTCTGTACTCCAACTTTAGCCTCTCGCTCGCTGTGAACAGATTTCTGAAATCGTCCTAAAATTTTAAATCATACACCCCACAATACCATGGCTAAAATAAAGTTACTTTTAATTTGGAATGTTCAGTTCTTAAGTTTGTCAAATTCCTAGTGTCCTTCTTTAAACTTTCTTTTTCTATTTCCCAATTGGTAACTTTGATCCGCAAATTATCATTTCCTTCTTTTAAATCTCGTATTTCCAACTTTAAATCCCTATTTAGTTTTTTTAATGTTTCCTGTTCAATTTTTAGTTCTTCATATTCGCTAGTTAATTGTTCATGCAAAGTTCTGAGAGTCACCTGGTCGAGCAGCAAGGTGTTATGTTCTGTATTTTGCAATTGCTGTTTCTTTGATAACTAAAAATGAAAGGGATTCACATATCATGCAAAGTAAGGTAATTTTATTTTTACTACCAATGTAAATGTAAACTATATTACTCACCTCTTCCTTTTCGGCTACCAACTGACTATTGGCCAGCTGCAAGGCACATTGCTGGGCTTGCAATGAATGAATTTGCGACTTAAGAGTGGAAATATCCACCTGCAGAGTGGCATTTTCGTTTTGTAAGGTATCATTTAGGTTTTGCAATGACCCTATATCACTGTACAACTTATCACATTGTAGACTCCATTCTGCACTAACAGATTTGGCCACCTCTTCAGCGTGCTTAAGAGCATCACCATCTAGATGACAGGTCTTACAAGGAGATTGTTTAACCACTTTCTCTTGTACTAAACTTTCTATTTGCTTAAAAATTTCTGAATTGTTAAGTATTTTCTCAACAAAAACATTGAGGTCATTATCAAAAACATCTAGGCTGAGACCCAATTTTTCAATATTGGATTTTAGCTTTTCATTGCACACTTTTTCATTGATTAGGTTTTTTTGAAGGGTAGATATGGTTTCAGATTGTATGGAAGCCTGAGAAACTAGCTCATTGGCTTTTTGTTCACATGCTTGCAGTTTTTCTAATTGAAGTGTAACATTCAAGATTTCTTGATTAAGTTTCACCAGTTCTCTTTCATATGTTTCTTTTTCCTGTGTTTTTGTATCCAAAGCAACATCCTTGAGCTACAAAAGACACTTAAGGTACCAATTAACAACTGAACAATAACTCACCTCAACTGCTTGTTTCAGCTTTACAATTTCTTTCTGGAACGCAGCGTTTTCTTTTTCTAATGTTTCCACATACAATTTAAGTTCATTTGCCATTTTCTCTGCTTTCTTACCATTTCCAATTTCATTCTGAAAAGATTTATAGTAAAATCACTATATAGACAATAATTAATTAAATTATAAACCTTTAAATTCTGAAGCTGCTCAGATGCTTGATTTAATGATTTATCTGTATCATCTGCTCTTTTTTTCACACTATCACACAATATCTGTACTCTCTGTTTCTCCTTTGATAAATTCTCAATAGTTTTCTCTAGATCTGATATCTTAAACTTTTCATTTTGTAATTCCTGCGCCTGCCTGTCAGATGTAGTTTTCAAGTTATCAAAATTATTTTGAAGCTTTTTATTTTCTTGAATAGCACTCTTAAACAAAGTTTCCAACTCAGAATTTTGCAATTTCAACTTGTCACAATTTTCTTGCAGCTGCTCACATTTTAAAAAAAGTTTTTTTCTCTCTTTGTCAAGTTCTAGAATCTTGTTCACATTATCTCGGAAGTTATCCTCTTTTAGCGATTCTATTTTACTGAGGAGTTTTCTATTTTCTAGTTCCAGTCTTAATGCTCTGGCTTCAGCATTATTTGTCAACTGCTCTGATAGACTGTTATCACCTACAGTAGACTCATCAAGATCAAAATCTGGTATAGTACTGTCTAAGCTGTTTTTTTGTAAAGCAGATTTTGTCACTTGCTGCAGTTGTTCATTCTCTTCCACCAATTCTAGGATTTTTTCATTTGCCGCATCTCTTTCCTACATAATGAGTACATATTACAAACTTTTTGCAGACTTATTCACAAACAAAAGATGCATGGAAGAAAAACTTCAAATATACATTTCAATTTGGTTTTAGATCTTTCTTCATGGAAAGAAATTGTCTCTTATATTGAAATATCAAAATTTCCTAGGCACAATTGAATAAAATGCCAAAAATTCTACTTACCAACATAATTTCATTGTATTTCTGTTTACAACTCAGCAATTCAGCCTCCAATTCCAAAACTAGGTCAGCCCTTTGCCGTGCTCTAGCTAATTGTGCTTCTAGCATTTCCCGGGTCTCCAAAAGCACCCGATTATCTTCTCTCAGTTCCTCCACTCTGGTTTTGTAATACTCTGCATCAGCTAATTTTTCACGATATCTTTGCACTTCCATTTCCAATCTATCAGTCCGCTCAGCTCTATCACGTATTGAATCTACCTCATCTTGATAAGCTTTAGATTTCCTCATTTCCGATAACAATTCTTTGTTTTCTGTCTTTAATTTTGCCACTATACTGTTGGTATATTCAAGTTCCTCTTTGCATTCTGATAGCATTTCATTTTTTTCTTCCCTGCAAATGTTAAATAGTATCATAAATTGGATTAATGACTTTGTTTTGAACTCACAATTCCTGCTTATGTTTTCGTAATTTTGCTTTCCAATCAGCCAACTCAACAGCCCAGTGATTTGATTCAACACCATCATTATTAGGTTTCAGTTGACCAATTCCAGCAGAAGAATTTTTTTCCTGTCCCAGGTCAATCACCCTTTCTTGTAACAACTTATCCCGTTCATCTATCAATGTTCTGATGAGCGCAAACAATTTTTGGCGGGGGTGTTCACTCCAGTCCAATGTTAAGACCACACTCTGCTCATCAGTTACCTGTTTGATGCACTCTACAATATCCTTTTGAGAGTCTACATCTAAGTCTTTAATGCGGGTAATAAAAATTTCCTTTGTTGGACCCTGGACAGCACAACCTAGCAATAGAAGCAATACTAACTTAAGGTGACTTAAAGCATCTTTGGAGGTAGGTGATTTTCCCAATACAATGCAGTCAGGAAGTTTGACTACAATCTGGCCAAGTTCTTCTTCATAAATGGTTTTAATACTCCTAATGATACTGTGGAAAATTTTTATCCTTTCAGTATCAACAGTTGAGTGCTGCACGAGGCCTAAAGTTGGCACAGGCAATACAGGCTCTGGATCAATTTGAAGCAAGACTTCACTTATCACGGAGCCATCAAAAAATGCTTCATATACTTGTAGGGAACTCGGATTTTTCACACAAGTAGACAGCTAAACAACAAGGATGATTTTAGAATTAGAGTATTTCAGTAAAGAAATGCCTAACAATAAAAATGGTACCTAAAAAGTTTGCCCAAAAAAATTCAAACCCTACCCATTTCACAAGGGGGCCTTTCAGAAAATCTTCCACTTCACATGCCGAAACTGCCATTTCAAAGCAAGTTTCTAAATTAAACAACTAACCAAAACTATCATTACCATATCATTTAACGGTACTATATAAACTAAAAATAAAATACAAAAAGAAAACAATTTGGAATACAAAGATCTCTCACGCAGATATAAATAAGCCAGAGATAAAATTCTCATTCTCCATAGACTTTTGGTACGTTAGGCCCATTAGTCAAGGACATTCGCCTACCACATGTAAGAAAACAGAAAATATTATTTGCCCTTAAGAAGACGATTTCATTTTTTGTGATTATCTCATTATCTTCGAACATGGAACGTTAGTTGACATTCATTGATAAAACCATGAACACGAATATGCCACAATTTCAAAAACAATAAAAACCCTAATGATTACGCAACCAACCTAGATACCTTGGTACTCTTTTTGTGATTAATACTCTATGATGTATGCCTGTCGGAGTATTTTTGATCTGTAGTTATGTATTGTTTTTCTCTTTCACTATAATGCAATAATTACTTAGTGGATAGTGTGCAAGATCGCTAATACATTCCCTGATAACTTAAGAATGTATTCGGGAAGCGATTCTACGGAATCTCAAAAGCAATCCCACTGGTCCCTTAACCCCAACATATATAAGACCATGGCAAACGACCAAGTTGACTGGGCCGCATTAGCCCAACAGTGGATCATTATGAAAGAAGCGGGACCCCCACCGGTACCAGGTGAACAAATGGAAGCCACTAACAAACCACCGATCCTTGTAAAACCAAATAGCGAGGAGAAAGGGGAAGCGCCTATGGATGTGGAAAATGACAAGGAAGATTTCTTATCCTGGGGATCCGGTGGCGATCCGCCTCCTCCACCTGGATCAGAAAACTGGAATAACTGGCCTGTGAATGGAAATCCTAGTTGGACTGGTTGGAACAGCGCTTGGAGTAGTGATACAGGTATAATTGAAGAAATATAATTAAATTTTTAAGGAGGATATTTCACACAACTAGTTATTTATGAAAATTAATTTCCAGGACGTGGACGAATTCCCGTCCCTCCCCCACCAGGGATACCAGTAAAACCTTTGCTTCCAACTCCAAATAGCTTATACTCTTCTCCTCCAGAAGGTGGTAATGACAATGCCACCCCTTTTGGCAGTTATAATACAGTTCCACCAGTGATACCACAGGTAACTGACTATAACACAGGTTACTGGAGTTCAGGGGTGCAAAAAGAAATAAAACCTCACAATAAAAGATATAGTAAGGTCAATGTACCTATCAAAACACCCATTCATACACCTCCTGTTGCTATGCCTGTTGTTCCTGAAATACCAGCTGCACCTCCTCCTTTGGATGCGTCAAAAAGAAAACAATTGCCCGCATGGATAAGAGAGGGTACAAGATTATTTTTGCAGTAGAATGAATTTTACTAATAAAAAAGTTATCAGGTTTAGAAAAAATGGAGAAAGACAAACTGAAGCAGATAGAGAAGGATAGGGAGAAACTAGTGACAACTGAAATGACTGAAGAAATGGAAGCAGATAAGAAAAAAAAAATTGAAATAATTAAGAGCACAATGAGGGAACAACAGCTGAAGAGTAAATTTGTATGCTTTTCAAAGTGTTTTAGGTCTTTGGATGATTATAAAAAGTATTTTAGGACACTGACGAGGATTCAGACCGGGATGGGATCATAGAGAAAGCATCTAGTCCACGACCCACATTGACATCACCGGAAGAAATGGTAAACCAGATAGCAAGTTCATTTGGATTTAGATGTTGATTTGGTTTTTATTACCTTTTAGATGGTAAAAGTTAGAAAAACCATGACTGAGATTTTATTGAAAGTGACAAATCAACTCATAGAACAGATTTGTAGAGAGGAGCAGCTCCGTTATTTAAAAAAGTCAAAAGGTATTATAATTTTTTTGGCTTTTATGCCAAGTTGGTAAATGTTTAGTTTTAAACCCTTATAGGGTTTAAAATTGCAAAACAGTGAAAGTCAGAGTTATTTAAATCTAGGAATAAAAAAAAATAATAACTGGATGTAAAATTTTCTCAATCTTTTTTTTGTAAATGTAATAAAACCATACTTTCCCATCACTGTTCTTTTTGGGCATACCTTGTATATTGTATAGTGTCTATATCTATAACTGACTTGCTATTGATTGAATATTGCAAGTATTAGTTTTGTTTCAGCTCTTCTTTTAGTGTATTGTAACTAATGTATTTTGTAAACTATAGCTACAGCTACAGCACCCAGTGGTGCCCTGATTAGTGCCAAACTTGGTAAGTATCCTCTAAAGAATTTGTGTTAGGCAGAATGTCAATCCGTTGGTTCTTAAGCACACATTACACTTATTGAGTAATTTCTTGAAAAGGTTTTTCACTAGAGGTCACAGTGAATTTCAGGAAATGTGTCTCATAGTCTTAACAAATAATTTACAAAATCAGCTTGTTCGATATGAGTTATACTTGCTTACTGGTTGGTCTATTGGGAGACAATATACAGTTCTTTTCGTATTTATAAAAGTTTTCGCCATACAGGTTTGGGTGCTTATAATGATGACTCATCTAGTGGTGAAGAATCAGAAGCCGAAAATGATGAAAAATCTGACTCAGATTCTGTCCTTAAAGTAAGTTTTCTTGGTGTAAAATGCAATATCCTCCAAGTGGAGAAATATCAAATTATAATTTCGTTTAATAGGAAACCATAAAGAAGAAGATGATGGAGTTCTCAAAATCTGAGAAGGAGATTGAGGAGAAACTGTCCAAATCAGAGAATCAGCATAGGGGCAGCTTAAGCAGGTCCCCAAGCTCGGAATCTGAAAATGAATCACAGGTAGACACTTCCATTCAAGGTCAGTATCAAGTGAATCACCTAAAAAGGGACAAGGGGCTTCCTTTCGCTTGCGACTTTCGGCGCCAAGAATTTTTATTCTGTTGTAGGTAGAAAGCATGATGGGGACGAAGAACTATCAGACCGTCCCGCTTCCTCGATGCACCGATCGTCGTCCTCTTCGTCTGAAAGCTCAAATTATTTAACTAATAAGTCTCGTAGAGCACGTAGAAGGTCCTCCTCAAGCGTAGATTCGCGTAAGAGAAGTAAGAGGCGCAAAGAGAGGAGCCGGTCAGCTTCTCGGACACCAAAAAGGTCCAGCAGACGTTACTCGAAGTCTCCTTCGAAGCACAGAAGGTCCCGATCGTGGTCGTCCCGGAGGGATAGTACAGAGTCCCGAAAACGGAGACGAAGGTGATTAAACGTCTTTTCAATTGTCTAAGTTCCAATGTCAAAGGATCAAGCATTGGGTTCCATATGGCTCAGTGCTTGCCCCTTGCTGTTCATTATATATAGAGCGGTACTTAGTTATTGGCTATAATGCGAGGTGATAGTAATTCAGGCATAAAAGTTCATGTAAACAAGTTGATAAAGATGTGTGATATATGGTGTCAAAGAAAAAAAAAGTATTTTGTTAATGTGTGAAAGATCTTTTTGCTGATTTTGTTAAAATTTAGCATTGTACAAACATCGTAATTATGTCCAAATTGTTTGCCACTAATCAAAAATTATCAAGCAGTTTTTATTCAGAGGCAGTATTAAGGACCAAGCATTTCCGGATTTTGAAAGTATTCAATTCAAATTCCAAGACGTACATTTCCAAATTTAGCTTCAAATTTTTAAAAATTACATATCTCGTTAGATACCTTGTAAAAGAAATTACAAGTACTGGCTCCATCAAGGTTTTTGTTAGTTTTTGATTTATCAAAAAATACCAACCAGCAGCAGTCATCGGCGTTTTTCACACTTAAATTGTTAATAAGTTAGGTTGTGGAATTGACCAGTCAGTCAGTCAATTGACCGAAATAATTTTAAAAATGCTATAAAATTTATATTTATTTATTTATATTGTGCCTTACCTAGCGGTCGTGTCGTTCTGGGAACTAAATGGAGTCGATATTATTGGGATTCCTCGAATCGCCAATCGTATTGGGATATTCCTTGAAGAGGGTTATCGGTAAATTGGACATCACAAATGCATAATAATTTATTATGAAATACATATTATTAAATAATGATAGGCAACGCTCTACAATTGCAAGAAGTTATTTAAAACATTTTTTTGCTTACTCAATTAAGAAGTGGTCAATTGACCAGTCGCAACACTATTAATAAGCAAATAGTTTCCCCACTTTAAAATTGAAACATTTGTTACTAGCTTATTCCTGCCATTGCATTGCAATACCAAGTGCTCCATGTAACTAATTCATTTGTATTATTTTTTGTTTACGAGAAACAAAATCAAATCTTTCCACAACACGCAGGTGGAAAAGAACAAAATAGACTCGGATTATTATGTTGCATAGTCGCTGACCGTAGTTTCTTTCATTTATAAGATCCAGCTCCAGGCATTCGCGTAGATCGCGAAAATCCCGATCGCTGTCCCGCCGCAAAAGCTCGCGTTCCCGTAGATCCCGAAGTGGTTCAAACAAAACGCGAAAGTATTCGTCGCGCAAATCTAGTCGGAGATCGAGGTCTCGATCGAGAACGCGCCGACGCAGGTCGAGGTCGTCGAGCGGTAAAGAAAGCGCCAGGGGTAAGAGGTCTCACAGGCATTGAGCTTATGGAAACGAAAAAATTGAACGGACCTCTCAGGTTGTATATTTTGATCAGTTCTTTACTTTCAAAGGTTGTTTTGCATTGCATTATTTGAACTACCGATATTATACGTTTATTCCAAAGCCGCGGAAATCACCGCGATGTATAGTAATTTCTTTCTGGCTAATTAATTTGAAATAGTTATAGGACCTAACATCTTATAATTCAAAACAATCTTAAAAGAAAATTGTACCGACACAAATATATGCATGGAAAAGCAACTTTTTTATTGATTGAGAAAAATTCTTTTTTAAAGGTAGATTTTTATGAACTAGATGTTTTGAAACAATTTTAACACTAAGCTGTTGTTTCATGGGTTGTTTAGGTGGGGCTATATTTGTTCAAACTACAATTTTCTTTAAAAAGAAATGTGTAAACAAATGTAACGCAATTTAATATGACTCATCTTTCACAGATGCAAAGGGAGTGATGGCAGATATCTCAACCTTCAATGGAAAAGTGTGTTACTTTTTGAAATGCATTTTCTTACTAGTTACAAACTTTAATGTAATAATTTATTTTCAGCTTTGAATTAATTCTTTATTTTGTCTTCCCGGGTAGAATAATTAAAAAAAACTGTTCTCTTCTTATTATAATAAATGCTCCATTGATTTTAATTTGTATTTTTTTTAATTAAGGTTGGTATTTTAATCCTCAATCCCTGGGGTAATAACAGGTCCCTCCAATATTTATAGATAAGCCTTCAGCAGCTTCAGTTGGTAGTACAGAAATTATTCCCTAGAAATCAAAAGCATATACTTTTACAGGTAATGTTTTTAAAATATCCCATACCTTTCCAACAGAATCATCCTTCGTCATGTAACCCAAAGCCATACTGTCAGTACTGTGACCCCATAAAAGTGATATTTCTTTACTCTTAATATCTCTCCTCAGAACAAGTGCCCCACACATTTTTTGATGCACGTTCCTTAAATACCTTCAACAAAACAATGACTCATTTAGTAAAAAAAAATGGGTGTGTCTGTACCTAGAATTAAGGAATTTTTGATTCAAACTCTCATATAAATCAGTGGTAGGGCATACACTTGAAATTAAATCCTCAGCTATTACTTTGGCTAGCTGAGTTTGCACTAAATGTTCACCACAACCTGATGTACACACTCCCAAAGATGTTTCATGATTTTTATCATAGCTATCTGCCCACACTCCTCCTCCAAACACTCCGGCTTGGCCTACACGACCTGGTTGCTTCAGTACAAGACCACCTAAAACGATTCTGCAAAAAGATAATAATAAAAAATAAACATGAGTAACTTACCAGAACTGCAAGCAGCTGCTATTTGGCCTGTATCATCTATGCAAACTGCTCCGACAGTATCAAGCAATGCCTTTGTTTCATCATTTTTGATACAAACTGAATCTAATTCTTCCTGTTTGTATGCATCTACCCAATGTTTATATCTCCGAAATTGTTTTAAAGCCCTCATCGTGACAAGCTTTTTATTGGAAATAAATTCTATACCCCTGAACTTTGCATAGTTTTGAGCTCCTTTGCCAACTACCAGGGTAGGAGCTACTAGTCCTAAGGGTTGCGGTTCCCTCTGCTTTTGATATACCTCGTAAGCTAATGCAATAGGGTTTTTAACAGTTTTAACTGCTCCACAAGCTCCATAAAGCAGGCTATCGCCATCCATCAATGAGGCATCACATTCTACCTCACCTTCAAGTGTTAAATTTGACCCACATCCTGCATTGGTCAGTGGATTGTTTTCTAGAACTAAAGAAAACATTTTATTCAAAAACTGAACCACTGAAATTTGATATCCAAGAACCATGAATTTTAATAAATTATACAAACCCATAACAGCAGCCTTTACGGCGTCCACAGCTGTACCTTTGTTCTGCATCTCTTGCATTCCTTTTTTGCAAGCTCTTCGACATAGTTTCTTGTAATCGCTGTAAAGTTTGGGACTGTAATGACCCGCACCTACAGACAAAATAAATAAATATTGGGGAAATTATTACACCAAGATGTTCCATGTTAAAGCAAACAAGTGAGGAATCCGTACAATAAAATTTACGTACCACAATGAACAGCAATCATCTAAAACAATTCTAAAATAGAAGTTTTAGACTGAATTATATTGTTTGAAAAACCGCTAACCTCCAAAACAAAAATCAAAATATACATACATATACAGATCGGGCATCACAGACCATCAACATTTAACGTAGAATCTCCTATATCTTGTGTATGAAAACGAACTAGGATCATGGGACATGGATGATTGCTCATTAGTGAACAATCCAAAGTTCATTTTTTTTTGTGTAGGGATTTGTTACAGTGGCGGTCTCGTTCGATCATTTTAATTATTTTTTGCAATTTGGTTTGATAAAGCCACTCCTCATTTTTAGATCTTTTTTTTTTTCAAAAAAAGGTTCTCATAAATTACAATGTAAATGAGCGTATTGGACATATTTTATTTAAAAAAGTACACATTTCAGAATGTATAGGTATCACATTATTTTTAATTTAATATAACAAATAACAAATTACCCACTATTTGCCACACCTCTGTTCCGTTTTATTATACAAACTTAGTGTCTCAAAAAATGTTTTATAAGAAATATTGTGATGGGTTTTAACAGAAAAGAATTCAGTTATTCTGGTTTGCCAAGGGGGATAATTTCTAAGAAGTATTGTTTGGTCACAATATAACGCTACTTCTGGTTCTGGAAATGCAAAGTATTTATGTATGCTGCAAATCAGACTTTCCGTTGACAAGTCTTCCCTGTTTTTGGTTACTAGGTTTTTGGTGAAATTTACTAGCCCCAACTTTCCGTCTTCCTCAGTCAGGATTTTGACATGAATTTTATTTCCTGTAAATCCGTTTTTTAACGACGAACTAGAATTGGTGTGCCATATGATGTGACTTCCTTCAGGTTTAATCTTTTCGACTTCGCTTGAAAATTTGTCTTCATTTTTATTTAAAACACCTAAAACATTTATTCATTTTAATTAAATGTCACTCACTTTTAATTAAATTACCTTTCCAATCATAAAAACTAACAAATGCTATCCTATGTACCAGACACCACAAAATAATATTGGCTAAATCTTTGTATGAGGGTTCTTCCTTTCCCAATATCACCGTAAGATGTTTCGGAATTTTTCTCAATTGATCAGGTGCAATCCTAATCTCGTGACTAAATTTATTATTAATCGCATCTCCAATTTCCTTTAAATTGCAGTAAATATACTCCAATATATCGTATAAACAATGCACCAAAACATATATAGCATTAAACATCGCACTACCGGTCATCCTGTACAAGTGGCGCGGCACTTTTTTAGTTTTTTATCATCATAGAAATAAAATAACCTTGCCACATTGAACACACGGCGATAATAATTCGATTGACGAAACACTTTTTTAAACGATGTAGCTTGTAATCATTTTAGTCTTAACCTGAACTTTTAGGACTCAGAAAACGTTTTTTTGACAGCGTTGTCACGTTGTTTGGCGAATGTCGTATGAGCCAGTCTGATGAACGAAGGAACTTTTTGGAAGCAACTATCTATTTTTATTGCAAGTTAATTGACATGAGCGAAGCTATTGGAGCAAAATGAGAAAGATAGTTCGGGTGCACTGAACATAAATTTATTACACAATAATAAAATACTTTTTTTTTGATAATTAGGTATCAGGAAACAGTTTTATTTTCTATACTTAATATTTGAATCCAATAGCAGTACTCGACGTATGCAACCAATTTTTCGCTTGCATATTATTTTTACTTGTGAGGAAAATTATTTTATTTTCTTTGCTCACTATTTTGGGGAGACTTGGCAGAACCAGGCGTAGCGAAGCGAAACTCTAAATTTCTTTGCTTTGGGATCCAACATAAAAACCTTGTAAATCAAAGCCTTTGTCAAATATCACATGATCATAACCTGCCAACAGCGCGAACAGTATATTAGCATGTTAGGCACACCAAGATTAATTAAAAGCTACTATTTAATTGTATCCAAATAGCTTTTCAATTAATAGATGAAAATGAGGGAGCAAGTTTTACCTTTTATGTAGGATAAAAGCCAACCAACAATAGTAAACCAATAATTAGGTAATTTATTTTAAAATATGTACATAATTAAGACACATTAATCAACAAAAGCTGTTAAGTAAATGACTGTTTTTTCCTCCAATCTAAAAATTCATCAAAATCAACATTGTCGAGGAGTTCCTCATCTTCTTCACTATTTTTATTTTTGTCGTCACTAAATGCTGCTACCACTTTAGCCTTCTTTTTTTCTAAATCCAGTACCCTAAAATTAACCTTATGTGACATAGTTCACAATACATTTATAATGAGACTGTTACTTATTTAATTTTTTCATTTGTTCATCAATTTCATCAATTTGTCTTTCAGTAGTTGACTCTTCCTGATCTTCAGCAATGATAGCAGCACTGGCATTATCAGCTTCCCTTATCTCTTTCACAAATTTCTCCCATTCTTCTTCCCCAGGGTCTTTATATTCCTGATTTCGTGCCTAAAATGATTACAAGAAATATATGAAGCATTAATTCATTAAGTATATTTTGGACCTTTGCATCTAATTTTGGATCATCAAAAAAGCCTTCAGGTAAGGTTTCCGTTTGTTCTTCTACTTTGTTTTTTGGTGCACTTGTGGGGGTTTTAATATTATTATCGAAAAAGTCTGAAGGAAGATTTTGATGAGCTCTTGTAACTGGTAGATCTATAGTTTGAGTCTGATTCCCATTCTTTAAAATACTCTTTAATTTTTTATCTGGAATGTCCGGCAAAGGTGGAGTAAGAGGTCTCTTAAGTGGAGTGGTGAAATTGTTAGTTTTTTCTTTCAATTTCTTCGCCATTTCCACGTTTTGCTTGTGTTGCTTGGCGCTGATGTGAATTGTCCACACTGCCTCCGATCTTACTATTGACTGACACAGCACACACGTTAATTGTCCATGTTCATTATATGTGACTTTTTGTTAAGAAACTATGAAACTCTTGCTAATGTTACTTGATAAAAGCCAATAACTAACTAAATTATTAAAATCTAAGTATATTGTGTAATTTACGCCATAAAAAAAGGATATTTTGCAAGTGGTGAATCAATTTTCTTCACTTCATTGGGCTTTTTTTGGTGTTCCTTCATGATTTTGCGCAAATCCGACTGAGACAGCTTTTTTTTTGCATTTTTAAAGGTTGCAGACATTTTTTCAGTTAATACTGGAAATATCAAAAACACTTAGCAAACAATCCAAAACAAAACCATTTAAAAACATATCCTTACATAAACAGGAAACAGCACAGGACCACAGAAAACAATATATGTTCTACTAGTTTGTGGCATAACGCTTCCTCTTTTGCTTTTCACTAAACCGGTGAATCAAATTTGCTAGGGCTATTCGCCTATTGCCGACACAACCACCATGGGAGCCAATAAAAAACAGATGGTTGATAAATCTAATGTACGCTTGGTGTCATTGCTAAAGTAATCATCTGTCCTGAATACCATTATGCGCACTACAGTGCGGTAGAAACAATGCAATTTCTAGTTGTATTTCTATTTTTAACGGTGAAGTGCCTGATTAAATTGCTTTAATTGTGTTTTTAAAGGTTGTTTTTTTACATTTTTGACAAACCCAAATTATATTTTTTTTGTGTTCAGACGTTTTAATTAAATGACTTAATTTAATGAAAAAAATTGTTTACAAACGCAAGGGTGGGTGATGGGCACGTCCTTACATACATACCTGCAATAACGTAAATATCATCGAAGCTATTGTTGCTATAACTCTAGCTAGAAACCACCCACATCTTTTTTTTTGGTGTTGAATAAATACCTGGCTCTTTAAGTGTGCTTCTGCTACCAAATAGCTTGCCTTAATAAACTACCAAAACACTATAAAAACCAGAATCAAACAAGCTATAAGGACCATTGAGCAAAAGCAATAAAATGAAAAATGAAGAAATAAGAATACTTAGTAAATTGGCTAAATGATTCCTGTTATGTGGGCCATGACGTAAAAGATGAAATATTTGTATTTGAGGTTAAGGTTAAGCGGTATTTTTTTAAGGAAAACAAATTTTTAAATAGTATGGTAGGAAGAAAAAGTAACCCATAAGAAACAATTAGTCGGTTACACCCTTCTTATTTTTAGTATTCTGTCGTTAATAAAAGGGATAATGCTCATGACGAGGGAATTTGGAGTTGTGCATGGGGAAGATATTCTTCTGAGAAAAAGAAAAAGGACGATGGAGATGACGAAAAATCGAGGTAAACGTTAATTCCAAATACATCTGATTACTTTAATTGAGCAGTTTCTGACAGGGATTCTGTAATGTCAGAGGAGCCACCTACTGACTACATAATAACAGGAGCGCTTGATGATTTAGTGAAGGTCTGGGAACTACAAGATGATAAATTACAGTTGAAACACAATTTGGAAGGTCATTCTTTGGGCGTTGTATCTGTGGCAGTTAGCAATAATGGAAAATGTGAGTTATTACTGAAGGCTCACTAAGACTCTAAAATGTGTATCACTTTTTCAGTATGTGCATCAAGTTCACTAGATTCATCAATGAGGATCTGGGATTTGGAGAAAGGCGAAAAAATAGCTAATGTGGATGTTGGTCCTGTGGATCTTTGGACAGTTGCTTTCAGCCCAGATGACAAATATGTCATTTCTGGGTCTCATTCTGGGAAAATAACCCAGTACAGTGTGGAAAATGCTAATGCAGAGCAGTCATTTGAAACAAGAGGCAAATTCACCCTTAGCATAGCTTATGTAAGTAATAGGTTACATTTTGGTAACATGGATATTTAAAGAAGCAAGGATTTTGATACCATCTAAGTGTAACCAGTACTTTAACTGAAATTCTAGAGCCCTGATGGTAAATACATAGCTAGTGGAGCTATAGATGGAATAATAAACATTTTTGATGTTGCCTCTAACAAATTGTGGCACACCTTGGAGGGTCATGCTATGCCCATCCGTTCCTTGTGTTTTTCACCTGATTCTCAATTGCTATTAACTGCATCTGATGATGGGCACATGAAACTTTATGATGTGTATGTTATTTTACTTAACAATTTTTATAATTTTTAAGAAGTAATTTCAATATTTGCAGACAACATACTCACCTTGTTGGTACAATGTCAGGCCACGCATCATGGGTTTTAAGTGTAGCATTCTCCCCTGACGGTAAAAATTTTGTGTCTGGTAGCTCAGATCAAACAGTAAAAGTCTGGGAACTTGGATCTAGACAGTGCATTCACACTTTTAATGATCACACTGACCAAGTTAGTAAAATGTTTAGTATCAATTTATAGGTCTTTATGATGTTATATTTGTAGGTTTGGGGAGTAAAGTACAATCCAGATAGCAATAAAATTTTATCAGTATCTGAAGATAAGTCTGTAATAGTTTATAAATGTCCGAAGTAATTTTTAATAAACTTTTCATTTGGCAAAGCTTATTTCCCTCTTTTACATTACCTAACTAATACAAAATACAAAATGATGTGTGCATGACGTCATCAACCTAATGCCCCGGCTACGGTTTTATTTAGTCGCTACACTAGGATTCACCAAATAATTGTTAAATATAAAGCATAGACACAGAATAAAAAATTGAAAACATAGAATCAAAACACCACCCTTCTCGGTAAATGTATTTATTTTTTATATACAAATCACTAATAATAAATTTCAACTAGTCAAACAAGAACATGACAGTCTCTTTGAGCAAATGTAATAAAAAATTAAGGGGCTCTTAATTCGCCCTAAAAAAACTTTCTCACTAACTCTTTCCTGTTACTTTACTTAAGTTATGTATTCCTAGCGAATGAGATATGTATTTTACGTTAATATTAAACTAGGTATATTTACATTATATATACAAATATTTAATCAAGAACTAACAGTATCTAAAAAACACACGCACGTTATTCACTGAAGATGCACACAAAAACTGGACAAAATCAATAAAAATCCCCTGTTTACTTTATATTACTGTATATTACTTTAGTGAGCAGTAATATACAGGGTATTTTAAAAAACATGTACTGCAGATTCCTTATAAAAAAAGAAAAACAGGTTACATAAAAGTAGGTCTGGAGTGATTAATTTCCAAGATTACCGGGTGTTATTGTAAACAAAGGGTCTAAATTAATGTTGATAAAGATAAAATAAATTGCAATTGCAAAAAAGTCAGTCACGTCTCTTTAATAATTCCATTCGGAGTTCACAATTTTTATCTAGTTAAAGTAACTTAGCCCCTGTAAAAAAGACGTTTTTTATTTTTCGAAAAACACTCCGTATTTACGTAACTAGCCCTTTTCCGGACCTACATTTATATGATTTTTTTTATGAACTTCCAGCGTGTTTTTCGAAACACCCTGTACAAAGCCAGGCATATTATGGGCCTATAACTTCTCTTAAAATTTTTTGAGAAAAAAAAGTGAAGTTGGAAAGTTCTTTATTAAGTATTTTAACACATTTGACTGTTTTATTTTTAATTTAGTGAATATTTAGACCCTGCTCTGATGTCGAGATGTCGAATCGATATTTTCTTCGCTAGAATTCGGACATTTTTTCCAATCTCTGGATACTCCCAGTATATATAATATTCCAATTTTTTGGATGGATATAACAGACATATAACAGTTCGATTAATTATATTCAGGAAAAGTTTCGTTAACTAAAAAAATTGCTTCCTCTATAATGACTATGATATCTATTAGCAGGGGATTTTCTGGCGACGTGGAAGCTTAATTACGCTTTATGCAAAACAGAAAATACACATCTTAAAATTGCAAGAAAAGAAAATATTTTTATACAATATTTTTACATCCCACGGGATATTTCTATTGGGAACAAGCTGATTTTTGTTGAAATACAAATTGTTCTTATTAAAATAAAATGATATAGTGGAATTGCAGACAAAAATTAAATATAAAAAAATGCCTGAAAAACAACGTATAATTGATGTTAGTGTTAATGGAAATGATAGATCATATGTACAGGGGGAAATGGAAATGTTAAAATGGCAATTATGGACTAAAAGAAGACCCTTAACGTCGCCTGACTGAGGGCTGGAGGTGAAATTCGCTGTCTGGTCCAGTAACGGTAAAAGCCTTGCGACTTTAATTTATCGGACGTACCTTTGAGGGTTTTCTCGAAAGGGATTTGCAGCGGATTTCTTTTTATGTTCTCTTGGTTTATCTAGTGGAGGGGATGTTTGGACCAATATAAAGAATTTCCAGGTAAAGCTGAGATTTTGATGGCTATGCCTTTTAGTAACTCTTTAAAGCGAAATCCACTTAACAAATGCTGAAAAACTTAAGCGGTTGAAACGTAGATAATAACTAAAAAGCGGCCGTGACCTTCGTTCACATAATTTCCAATGCAAATATTCTTGTAAGTTTTTTTCATAAAAAATTCGAAAATTTTCGGGGGGAAATTAATATATATATATATATATATATATATATATATATATATATATATATATATATATATATATATATATATATATATATATATATATATATATATATATATATATATATATATATATATATATATACAAAATGTATAGGGGACAAATTCGCGTGAGTGCGGTGTTTGGCAAGTTGTGAAAAATGGTTATTTCGTTTTTCTCTTTTTTTACCTTTGCGTGTCTAAGCTTTTTGTACTGTACTGGGTGGAACACAGGAAATTAAATGCTGGAAATGGATTAAAATAATCGTAAGAATGTTCGCCATTTTTTATCCGAAGCATAAAAAACGATGTTTGAAGAGACAAGTGGATAATGGAGGTCTATCAGATTATATTTTCATACAGGGTTCCCCAAACTCGACGACCTATTGTATATGGAGAATGGAAGTTAGATATTTAAAAACTATGATGTTTTTAAAAATATTTGGGACATTTTTAAATGGAATGTGCCGTTATTACATTTTTAGATTTTATGAAAAAATCTGAAACTTTCTGTGTAAGACATCTCTTATGATTATTTGGAAATAAAGAGAATTTTTTTTCAACCATTTTAATCTGAATCTGAAAATCTGAAATTTGGTTTACAGGGCGATAAAGGCATGCTATATCATATTATGGTATAGGATGTTTACAAAATAATTAATTTTAAATGGAATACCCCGTATTTTATTGCGATAAGAAAATAGTATATTATGCAACAAGTGCGGTAAACGGCATTTGACTCACGAGTTTATTTGACACGAGCGGAGCGAGTGTTTAATAAACGAATGACTTAAAAAGTTTACCAAACGTGTTGCATACTATACTTTTTCTAGGACCGTTAATTTTTCGGCATATTTTCGCAAAACACGAAAACATTCACTGACATGACTGTTCAGAAATTACAAACGTCAAAATTCAAAACGTGAGAAATATCTCAGAAAACATCCGACTGCTCCCAAACGCGTGCTGTAAAATCCCGGAAATGTCCGAAGTGGCTCGGATTCGTGGGAAACGAAACTGACGCTTCCCGCACGCCATGGCGATATAGTTTGACAGTTCAATTAGATATTCAAACAACAATTTATTAGTACTATATTTTTCAATACGTGCGCTAAACAGCAAAAGTCTACCATACCTGTTGCGTACTATACTTTTTTAGTTTTTGGGTACATTTTTGCAAAACAACACGGATATATTCACTGACATGACCGTTAAAATTGACAAACGCCAAAATTCAAGCCGTGTGGTAAAATCTCCGAAAACACCCGATTGCTCCCAAACCCGTGTCGTAATATACCGCAAATGTCCGAAGGAAGTAGAAAACAGACCCCTACAATTGACAAACGTCAAAATTCAAACCGTGTGGTAAAATCTCCGAAAGAATCAGACAAGAAACTTACGTGGTAAAGTGACGCTTTCCGCACGCTAGATCGGTGTATAATTTTAAAGAAGGGAGTAGGAAAACTAAAATACACGTTAATAGAGTGAATTATAAATACATAATTATTAACAGATTTTGATAACATATCTAGAAGATCCAAACTTTTAAAAAAATAATTATTTGAACTGAAGACTAAATTTTTAAACAAAGAAATGTTCGAGAGAAGAAACTCTTTTGGGTTTCTTATATTCATAAATCGTTGTTTGAGTATGAAATTGTTTATCCCAACACTTTGATAAAAATATTGTTACATTTTTGATTTGTTTTTGTGTGGACAGAACAATCGATTTTCATCACTGTACATTTACATAAAATAGTCACTTTGATTACAATATATTTACAAAATCAACGATTTTGTTTATACAAGCTTAATTAACATGAAAACGAAAAAATATGTCCATAAGAAATTATCCGGTACCAAAATAAAAATATTTCAGATGCTGTTTGGCAGGGATATTTCTGCAACTGAAATGACAAAACGTATCCGAAAAATACAGTGCAGTATGCAACTTTATGTTATAAGCTGCTGACGGTTAAAATAGGCTGTTTTAAGCATCGTACTTTTTACATTTTGAAGCTCGTTTAGGAATTGTACGTAACTTCTGCTAAAAAAATTCTACATATTTTCACTGTCTATTTTAATGGGCAATACTCATAGCTTTTCATTGACGAGAATTTTAAATTTATAATCATACAAAATTAAACTATCTCCGTATTTTCATTTACTTAATTTTTGTTCCCTTCTTAATTTGGTTTTATACGTTTTAAAAATAAATCTGAATGCCTACACTTTGCTTTGGTTTACTATTAGTCATTAGTGTTTTCCACTAATTAATTTTTTTCTTGGGCAGAAAACATTTGACACTTCTTTAGATATATACTATAAAGGTCTAAAGTCTAAAGGATATTATAAAAAATAGCTATCGATTAATATTTACGTTTCTATAAAATGTAAGAAAACCTCCACTAAGTGAAACTAAATGAACCAATTTGGGATAATACTAGGTCGTCTTAAATCGGCGAATTTTAACGTCTGCATAGTGTTCATTTTTCGGATTTACATAGTAAACTAAAATAACAAACCATCTATTGTGTTTAATATTATTTTTGAAAATTTCATTTATCTACCAAAAATATCCGTCAGTCTGTTCCGGTCAACTTCTGGTTTCAACCTAGCGCCACCTTTTCTCAAAAATAAATATACTCGAAACGCCAAAATAAAATTGCGTACCTATATGAAGGTGCACAAAAATCGGCGACTTCCAAAAGATAACAACTTTTGATCTTATTTAGCGTTTTCATTTTTGGGCTGAAGTAGAAGGAAAATTAATTATTATTAATTAATTATTAAATAAAACATTGTGATTTCATCCTTTTTTCTTCCTTTAATTGTGTGTTTTATTGTAATAAAATTTTGCTGAAAAAAAGTTACAGAGCTTATGCCAATGTAAATCTTAGTAAGAGTATATCGAAATTTGATGAATGATGAAATTAACCAGGATTACATACAAAAGTACGGAGTGACAGCTACTAAGTTTTTCAACACAGCCTTTAGGTAATATACCTTTTTACGCTTCCTATCATGAGCATGCCTGCCGATAGCCCCATTCTCTTCTACATGTCAGGATCAGAATCTTACCAAAAATAAAAACAACTTAATATCAAAATTGTTCAGCCCCCATTGTTTGTGCACTCGAGTTTATATATATAGCACTCGCGCCACTAACACGACCTGAAAACTATAACCGTAGCTATACATAATATCACCATAAACCCGCTGGTGGATCTATCCCTAGCTCGACTACTTAGGGCACTAGCTTGGCAACTCATATCGACGGGAGGCAGTCTGATTATGGGTACGTGCAGCTGCGTACTCGAGTCCCAGCATGTGGCCTCTTTGGCCACTTCGTGCACTTTTAACGAGAGCTCCACCGGTACGTTGTGAGCTTGAAGGCTTTCTCTGGTCCAACGGCGAAGCCAATGGCCTAGCCAAGCGAGATGACAGCCGCATCGAAAACGATTGCCAGCTAAACGAAGACCACCTACGAAAAAACCATATAGGAGTTTACGCAAAGGATATTATATAAAAATAATAAAGAAGCCCGCAAAAAAATAATTCATTGTATCTATTATTTACATATTCAATGAATTTGCGAGCAATATCAACCTAATCATGTTTGAAGAAAATGTTTGTTGCAAATATCCCAAAATATCTGTAAAAAATGTTTCCTTTCTGCTCTGCCAAAGCAATAATAAAGAATATTATTTTTTATCGGAATGATTTGCGACTAGGTAGATATATCATAAAAAGTATTTAAATTGAATAAAAACGTGTACTCGAAAATTCTACAAGCACGCACACTTTACAGAAAAGCTTACGAGTAAAAAGTGCTACTGCACTATTTAAAATTGTGTAGGCAAATTCTGGTAATAACGATTGAAAAACTTTGCTCTGGGACATGCAAATGCTAGGTGCTGGCTCCGTAACTTTTGAAAAAGTGGAAATTTTAGTTTTAAACAGAGATATAGTGACCCTGTCTATGCTAATAATACAGGAACTTATGAAGCAACAATGAAGACAAATTCTTCAAGCATGCATAGATCTCGTTAAATGTTCTGAGAAAAACAGGTTAAGTGTGTGAAAATTGCTGTTTAGGAAGAAAATAGCGCAAAGTTCAGGTTAGTGGGTAAAATGTAGACCCATGCGCGGAAAATCATTATTTTCTCTAGCAAAATATTCATGCTGCCTGCAGGGTATCAATTTTTCCCGTATTAGGGCCACTATATTATCTAATAGTTGTATAGTTTTAAACCTAACCGTCTAAGAAGTCAACGCACCAGCTACCTCGATCTCGAACATCATTACCAGAAAAAATCATTTTGGTCCCCATAAATTGAAACCAAGAAGGTGTTCTTTTATTTTGGGAAGTATGGCGCGAAACCCAGTTTTGGTGCACAGAAATTTAATTCTATGAACCAATGAGTTTTCCCTCCTTTTTTTTGTAAATGAAATCACGCAGTTTTTAAATTAAAACCTACAGCAGAGGTTGTTGCACGGAAACAAGAATTTTCGGCCAGGCAACTTTTCTACAGGTCTGTCTGCCATGTTTTTCACAATCTGGTATGAAAAGATAGACCCGTCTATGTCAGAAATCTGAACAACACTTTGTAACAACCGGCTTTCTAACAATTCAGTAAAATATAATAACCAAAATTCGTCTAATTTATTGCAATTAATTGACCAATATATAGGTGATATTAGCGATGTCTATTAAACACGTGTCTTGTTAGGGAGACTAATTAAACGACCCCCGTAAAACATCAAAAACTTCCTGCCGTTTTAATCCAGAACGTGGTAAGTCTGGTTGCATATACCCCGAATATGAATTTTTACGTAAACGAGTGATAAATTAGTAATCACATTACGCAGGCGCTTTATGAGCGGAACATTTAAAATGGCGGCGCTCGTATTACTTTCAAAACAAAATATTTAAGCAAGGCGCGCAATCCAAAACAGAATATGGAGTAATAAAAAGGGCCGCTGCGTTGTCTCCTAAAGTATAAATTCTTTATAAACTCAGTAATAACATCTTCGTCTTCTCGTTTACGGGCAAAAAAGAGAAATGTCTGTTTCATTTTATATAAACAACATCGTCATAACACGTAATGTTATTCCGTAGCGCCAAAAGGACAACCTACGTCCCTGGAATGGCAACTCTCTGACTTCGTTGAAATATTTAATGGGGTTTATCTTAGAAAATGGATTCTTTTCGCAATCTGAGGTTATTTGCGCCTAGTTGCAGACGAGAATATGAACGAATAAACACGATTTCGTACTTTAATCTCGGAAAATACATTAAATAAAGGCGTCTCAAAGCGTCAACATTCATTACTGTTTAAAAATGGCTTCCGTTGGAAAACATTTCCTCGTTAAATGGAAAAAGAATTAACGGAATTTTCATTAAGGCTCAATTATTAAGATAATTGCAAAATAGTGGTTTCGTTAAAAACATTGTCAAATATTAAACTGACTATTGATTCAATTGATGAAGGAAATGATAAGTTATTCCTTACTAAGCAGCAAAAATCAAAGAAACAGAGTTATGAAAAACAAAATTGTTATAAGGCCAGGAGAGGAACATAATTTAATCCTGAATTGTACTACGCAACAAATTATTTCCATATCTTCATGTGCAATACACACCAAGATTGCTTTCCAAAAATCATTGGTGGGCGGGACAAATCCGTAGCGCGTAGCTCGCAGCAGCTTTGTGTTTCCAAAAGAAGCCGCATCGCGGGTAAAAATAAATACAATAAAAATAGTTTGTTTTTCCACAGGGCGTCCAGATCCGAGGTATTTACGCAATTGATGACTTCAGTGGCGGAATTAATTTTTATTTAAATATTGAGGCAAATGGTGTGGGACACCACAGTGGTAACAATAATCATAGACTATACAATAATATATTCACGCCCATATTCCGGATATCTCAGTATATGTATTGATCCGATTCTTCTTTTTCTTATGAAGGGTCTAACGCCACAAAACAAAATGGCCCACACAAGCAAAGTTGTTTTATCTTATGCGACACCCTGTACAGTCTTATTCAAGAACCCGACGTTAAGATAATTTTTAGTTTTTTTTTGGTTTCGTTTTCATTTTATATACTATAAGCAGCTTAAACGTAACTTCTTCGTCACAAATCACGGTTTTCACTTAAGAAGCCGCAGCGCTGCAAAAATATGAGACCATCACACCATAATAAGATTAACTTCTTTAAAGTCCGTAGACAATAGCCGGTTTGAAGTTGCATTTAATTTTGTAAGTTCCGCATTCGAAACGGAGATTTTGCCCGAAACGTATCCGGTAGTGGTACAAAGAGTTCACAAAACTTTTGTTACTTAAACTTCGAAATCAGTTTCAAATTTGAGATCGCTATGGCATAGTGGACGAAGCATAAATAGCCTGTTTAACGTTTCATTTAAAGATTTCAACTGGAAATGTATCTCGTTTATTGTGTCGAAATTTCTCGAATTTCAAAATTACACATTTTGCAGGGCACATTGTCCGGCATTTGCAAAGTTTCGCCACGTTGTATCTAAAATGGCGCTGATATTTCTGAATTGGATTGTCCCTCTAGAGTTCGCGGGAGCGCGGCGCCATTGTCCCCGCGAAACATCTAATAAATTATATCGCATTTGTATGGAGTTATCGAAGAGCTTTTGAATAAGAAGTTCCTTCGGTTTACTGGAAAACTTTGAAAACGTATATACTTTGCAGGCAATTTCCTATTCTTCCTATAGCTCCGTTATCTCCTTTATTACGTCAAATTTCGTACGTGTATATCGGGTGTTATAAATTCAGTTGACTTTTCAGCATCTGCAGGAATATGGCGAAAACATTGTAATATGGATTCTTTGACACGTTTTTTAAAACGTTACTACTATGTTTTTTACTCCGTACTTTAAAATATCGTCGATCAAGCTTACGAAAAATGCTACGTTAAGATGTAGGTTCAGTCACTGATGGTATTTTGACGTTGATGGTGCTGACGGTTACCTTACGCGTCACTCACCAAAACTAATGGTACTAGAAAAAATATAGTGTGCAACATACATTCTTCAGTAACTCGTTGCTCCGGTAGTGCGAAATCAAAATTGTAGGAGCGTTTATCTTGTTGCAAAGTATACTACTATAGGTGAGATTAAAGAACTTAAAACATTCAAGCAATACGTTTTACTGCATTAAAAAAAAATAAATTATCACAATTTGTTTAAAAACATAGACAGTGTCCACAAATATATGCTAAATGAATTTTTTTCAACTCTATTCTCTCTGTATCAAACTCTTGCTTGTAGTTTTGAGTTTCCATTTTACTTAGCTTTTAAATACTATGTTTGGTGGGTTGTCTTCCAACAGGATGCTTACCCAAACTATTTCCGTTTCGGTTGACAGAATTTTACATTTATTAAAGTGTACATATTTTGTGTTTATTATCTGCATTATTACGTGATATATGAGCCACTGTTTTTTTTTTTATTTATTTTTTGAATTTAGTAGAGTATATTATTCCTTAATACTAGACTGGATTCCGAGATAAAAAAGCAAAAAGCAAAACCACCCATCTTTCCCTATAAACCAAAACGCCAACAGACGCAGGAGTTGTGTAAATAGTATGCCATTGGTAGAAATTAAAAAAAGTGTTGTGCGTGCCTCCTGATGCACATAACAAACTTACCAAATTTCAAAAATATATCTAGAATAGTTACATACATACACTTAATAACTTAAGAAGCAAAAATCCAAAATCTTGTCCAAAAATATCCATTGGTCAGACAAGCAGAAATTTCAAGAAACGGATTCAAGAGCACAAAAGTTCATTCTTGAATTCTAAAAATGATTTTAATTATAGTAATCATTTAATAGAAACAGGACATTCCTTCAATAACGATGTTAAAATATTACATAGTCAAAACAAAAGCAAAAAACTAAACTTATTAGAAACAATAAAAATTAATAAACAGAAATACGCAAGTTTGCTACTAAACAACCAAACCGACTTAAATAATTCTCCCCTCTTAAATACTTAGATAAAGATTCTACCTACTGTATGGATAGTCTGTAATCAACTCTGTGATAGTTAGTTTAGAGATTCTTTCTGAAGAAGGTACAGTGTACCGAAACAATTGTCAAAGCAATAAACATATGTGTGGTAATCTTAAAGCAAGTGTTTGTTTTTATTAAATTACGTAGTACATTATTGCAGCAAGCTTGACAAACGATCACTTTAGTCACTGGTTTGATTTGACACGAGCGGAACGAATAATTGAAGCAGTCCGTCCATGTGTTGCATATTATAGAACCATTATTTCTTGGGTACATTCACTGAGCGAATTGGTTAAAATTTACCAAAAACATTCGATAGTTTCCAACTACAATCGTCCGAAGTGATCAGAAAATGATACTTTGGGCACCCTTGATACGTACATAATTGGATATTCTAGAGTAGTAAGTAGAAAAAGTGGACTTATTTTTTTACTA